CTGGGGACTTATCGGCCTGACCCTCATACGTCGAACGCGACGGGAGAGTCGATTATATATATATATATATATGAACAAGCTGAGATAGATATATAAATAGACACACAGATAGATATGTATAGACTTCCAAACGTGCACTTGCTATCGTATATCCAAACCTTCTGTCATCCATCACCCCAGTGCCGCACTGCCCTCAGATTCCTGTACCCACTCCTCCAAAGAACTGCCGTCTTAGGAAGAGAACATCAGTTCAAAATAGAATGAAGTTATTAAACCAGATTACATAGGCGCAGCCGAAGAGAGAAACTCATACTACCCCCATCCAAAAAGACCTCACCGACCTGATCAGAGATTTTGGTCTGACAATGCCGAACTTTTGACGTTGAGAAGCAGTGGAATTTGTTAGATGAATGTGTGCAAGTCGCAGACCAGAGAAAGCGTCACCAGTGTTTTTCAAGATTTTTCACCCGTGAAGATGAGCTTTGCTTCACCCAAAATGTGACTGCTCTTTTCGAAGCTTTTGGAATCGCCTGTAACCCCAGCAAGTGGCGCCTCTTTATCGACAGCTGATCCAGGAGTCTCAAAGTTGTGCTGCTTCATAACAGGAACATGTATCCATCACTTCCCCTGGCTCACTCGGTGCAGTTCAAAGAATAATACAGCAGTGTCAAGATCTTGCTAGATGCCTTGAAATATGAAGAGTACAGTTGGGAGGTTATCGAAGATTTTCAAAATGGTGGCCTTCCTAATGCGTTTCGAAGGCGGCTTTACCAAGTTTCCGTGTTCTTTGCCTTTAGTCTCGCAGGGACACCGCGGCACACTATCACAGGCAGGACTGACCACAGCGGACCGAGTACAGTGTAGGGACGAATAACGTCAAATGGGAATCACTGTTGGACCCACGGAAAGTATTGTTTCCTCGACTGCACTTAAAAAAAATTGTCATAACTCTGGATAAGGAGCCTAAAGCCTTCAAGTACTTTCAAGTAGCTTTCCAAAGCTGCCTGCGGCAAAAGTCAAAGCCGGTGTCTTCATCGGACCACAAATAAAGGAGATCATAGAATGCTAGGAATTCCCTTAGAAGCTCACTAGGACGGAGAAAGCAGCGTGGGACAGCTATGTCGCAGTGGTTAGGGGCTTCCCGGGGAACCAGAAGGCTGAAAACTATGTAGAGCCTGTTGAAACAATGGAAAAGAACTACGGCAAAATGGGATACAGGATATCCCTCAAAGTCCATATCCTTGACGCTCATCTTGATAAATTCAATGAGAATATGGAGCTGTACTCAGGGGAGAAAGGCGAGCGCTTCCACCAGGATATACTACATTTGAACGCCATTAAAAAGGTCCGTATAACGAAAACATGATGGGAGACTATATGGGTGGGGTCTGATTCGTGAAAGTAATTCACAGTATAAGCGTAAATCGCGAAAAACTACTGACTTTTAAATCTTTTGTGATCTGTCATGTGTAATCCTAGAATAAATAAATGCTACTTTTGAATCATGTGTCATTTTATTCTTACTTTGCTTGAACGGGAATGTCCACATTCGACAGTTTTCCCAATGGGAATAGGTCAGTTGAAGAATTAACATTATCCTGGTCACAATAGCAAAGTTTGAAGGAAATATCAGCCATTTTCATACTGTCTAGGCACAAGCTAATAGGAAATAACAGTTGCTACCCTTTTACTTTTTCTTAAGCATTTCATCCCAGGCAAATCGGGGGTGCCACTAGCACGCAAGGGGTTACAGAAAGTGAAAATCAGAGAGGTGTTTGAGGAAAGCATAAAGAGAAGGACGAGGATCAAGATGAAGGCATCAAAAGATGTCGATTGAAATTACATTTAAATTTTTGAAGATTATAGTTATCAGGGAAGCAAGTCAAAAATCGTGTTGCACACTGAAGATAGATAGATAGATAGATAGATAATGCATTGTATAGATAGATAATGCATTGTATAGATAGATAGATAGATAAATAGATAATGCATTGTATAGATAGATAGATAGATAGATAGATAGATAATGCATTGTATAGATAGATAGATAGATAGATAGATACGAACAGACCAAAAGAGATAGCTAGATACATAGATGTTAACAAATTGAGTATTTTAATCATTTCATCCCAAGCAAGGCAATAAAACCACTAAGACACAAGGGTTTACAGAGTGCGAAAGAATAACAAAAAGAAAAACGTTAAGGAGACAGAACAATAAAAGAGGAAGAATGAAGAAGACAGTAGATAACGATTGACATTGTATTTAAATTTTTGAACATCAAAGTTGGCAGGAAAGCATGAAGCTAGAAGAGAGTTCGACAAGCGATAAGTGGATAAATATATAAGATAGATTCTGGAGAGAAAAAATGTTTAGTACAACACAGTGAGATAACTTTTTTAGCAGCAGACCTAGTAATTGATTCAATATAATCTTTCCACTTCATGTCAGCCGAGAATGTTAGTCGGAGAAGGTGTATTGAGTCACTTTATTGGAGGTTAGCATTAGTCGTGCTGATGGAAGGCAGAAAGAGTTCTCTCAGATTATTAATAAAGAGCAGTTTTTGTTTTGGAGACGTTAAAATTAACACGCCATTCCTTCCCTGATTCACAGCAGATTGTCAGTCATTTTTAGACCAGCTGTCAATTTGTCCTTATCGAAACGATCAGACTTAGACAGGAGTAAATAGCTGTGTCATCTGCACAGATACTAAGTTGAGAACTGATGTCATCAGGAAGATCATTGATGAAAATTAGGAACAAGGAAAGAGCTCTGGGCGACACCTACATTAGTAAAAAATGATCTAGAAGAGTGGCCATTCAAGATAACTTTCATGCATCGATTTGATAAGAAAAATGCATCTAAAAATACGATAACCTTTCGATTTGTGAAGAAGTCCGGTATGCTAAATCCTGTCAAACGCTTTCGAGATGTTCAAAGCAACAGTCCGAGCTGTATCACTCTTATTAAAAGCTTGATAGATTATTTCAGTAGGCCATATGCTTAACCAATTCAGATAGATAGATATGAACAGGCTGAAATCGATATATATATATATATATATATATATATATATTATATATATATTTATTAAAAAAAATTTATAACATAAATATGTTATAAAATCACTACAAAATAGCCATTTTGTTTCAACACCCCTCGGTGTCTTATCAAGTGATGATGTTGAATGTAAAATAAAATAAAATAGAATGTAAATATATATATATATATATATATATATATATATATATATATATATATATATATATATGTGTGTGTGTGTAATAGCTGGCCCCTCGTATTCGAGGATACTCGTCTACTAGGACGGCTTGCCAATCCCTAATTCAGACGATCGCTCAGGTTTGTTCAACACCCACAGAGCCAGCCTGTGGTTTATACTGCAACTATGCTGAGCAGACCTTAGTTAGAGTTTCTGGGAGAGAAGCGTGTTATCTAGCGTGATCAACAATCTGAACAAGGCCAGCACACTCAAACCCCTGGTTACTTGGGACTTCGTGCTAGCACAGCTATCGACGGTCCGCCAAGTGTTCCGTCTACCCAAGAAGAGACTGAAATAGATAAATAAATATATATGAACAGAGTGAAATACAGGCTAAGTTGTCGCCACTTTATATTTTTAATTTCGTGCAGGCATGTTTTTATTTTGTCGACTGCACAGTATAGTAAGGCCAGTTGGGCATCATCTGTGAAAAAAAAAAGCATCATGACGCAATTCACACCGCCAAAAATTTGGAAACAGCATGCTGTATTGCTTGGCATTCGCACCGGAAGCTCCAACACAAACATTTCAGAGTGTTTAGGTCAATTTAAGGACAATGCAGATTATTCGGAAAGAGATGGCTGTGTATAATGGTGATTAAGAAGGTACAGAGGCTCGGAAAAATGACTCTGGTCGTTTTGATAAGAAAAGAACTCCTGAATTCACTGATGAGGGCCTCAGACTAAACACAGAAGCCTACACAGAGGCCTACATCAAGTTTCTTGCAGAGGTAGTGCTGCCCTTGGTCAAGATAGTGGCTGATGGGAGATCCTATATCTGGCAACAGAACTCTGCACCATTCAGTCAAGACTGTCAGATATTTTCTGCGGCCACATCACATCTGAAATCTGGCCACCTAACTTCCCAAACTGCAACCCCTTTGATTATTATGTGTGGAGCTCCGAAGCCAAAGATTATGACAGTATTCACCAACTTAAACAAGAAGACTGCCCAGAAGATTTACCGGAGATTCTGAAGTCATCTTGAAGCCGTGGTTAAAGCCAGTAGTGATTTTATTAAATAAATTTACTCTTTAGTATTTCAAGATATTTCTGTGTAATTTTGGTAAATATATCTGTTAAAATGAGATGTCAGTATTATTTTCATTTTTGTGCAATTTAGAAGACAATTTATCCATCGTACCCTATAGATAGATAAATAGATAGATATAAACAATCTCAGATAGATTGATCAAATTGAAATAGATATATAGATAGATATAAATAGATTGAAATAGATAGATCGGAACAGACTGTAATAGACAATGAAATGGAAATAGATACGGATATAGATAGATATATAGCTATGAAGAAACTCTGTAAGATAGACAGATATGTACAAGCTCAAATAGATAGATAGATAGATAGATAGAAAACTATTACAGTAACTCTGAAATATGTGCTTCTACATAATCAATATTCGATTATTGTTCCGATTGATTTTGTGAATATTTTGATGTTTTAAAAAATAATGTGAATAAACCTTGAATTATTTATAACACTTATTCGTTGTTCGAATATTGATTATCTACAAACATGTTTTTCGGAGTTATTTTTATACCTTGTCTAGAAACTATCTGATTGGCAACATGTATTCACGCATACGTTAGTACACACACACACACACACACACACACACACACGCGCGCGCGCGCGCGCAGAGGGTTGAATGCAAGCACTATTGCAATCCGAAGATACCACTGGGCCTTTTAAGCCCCAAGATGTTCTCTGCTCCTAACAGCATCCTCATCTCCGGCGTTCGACAGAATTCATAGCACAGAAGGACGATGAGGGAGGGAGGCAAAGTGTGTGAGAAAATTTAAGTGGGTGGGAGGGGAGCTGTCTTCTCTCACGAATTTCAAGACTCGCCCGCTCTTACATTCCTTTGCAAAATTACTCTCCAGTTATTTCGATATTACGGTTTCCCCTCTCTCTCTTTCTCATTATCTTATTTACTGGGCTTCACTTATTATATCTTTCTTTTCTTTTTTATTCCCACTCCCACCACCTTCTTTTGTTATTCTTTGTCGTCTTTCCCACCCACCAAATACTATTTTCTCTCTCTCTCTCTCTCTTTCTCTCTCTCTCTCTATCTATCTTTTTAACTCCCATTCTAAACGCCATCTTTTTTTTTATTCTTTTGTTGTCTTCTGCTTTTTATTCGAACACTTCTTTCTCACACTATCTATCTATCTATCTATCTATCTATCTATCTATCTATCTATCTATCTATCTATCTATCTATCTTTTTCAGCCCCTTTCCAAATCTCCTCTCTTTGTATACCTTTGTCGTCTTCTTTTCCCTCAAATACTGTTCTCTCTCTTTCCATCTCTTATATTATATATATATATATATATATATATATATATATATATATATATTTCACTGATTCTTTTTCAGATAATTCTGTTCTCTTAAGATTTCATTTTTCCTTTCTTTTTTTAAAAATTTTATTTCCATTCCCACCTCCTCTCTTTATCGTCTTCATTTTCCCCACAGATAGCATATACTATCTATCTATCTATCTATCTATCTATCTATCTATCTATCTATCTATCTATCTATCTATCGCCATTCTTCATTCTTCTTCCTCCTACCGCTACACTGTTATTCCTGATGCTGACGACATTGGGTGACTGGTGGAGGCAAAGTTGTGCGCGAGAGACGCCGAGTGAAAACACGAGCTCTTCTTTCTAAATGAAAGGAATAGACTTACACACTATACAGAACTGCTTACTTATACTAAATCGCAACGGCGTTGTTTTGGTGGACGGATTGCCGGCTGGATAGAAGGAAGGAAACAGGGGGAAAAATGAACGACGAATTACAAGAATAAACTGCAAACGCACATTGATTTCGTTTTTTTTTTCTTTTTTTAGTTTTCATTTGTTTTTAACACAAGGAAATCTCGCCGCAAGGCACACGGACAAGGATTGAATACAAACGTTTCACCAGCAATATAAACACCGAAGCATGTAGAAATATATGCACAGATAGAACGGAACAAGTTATTTTTTATACATACATGTTGCATGCATGACGATTTAAACATCGTTAATTAAACTGAAATCCGTTATATACAGATAAGAATTTTGTTTACACGCGGTCGAACTTGAAAAACATTTCAACACAGAGCGATTTTTACATACATCTCTTCGAAGATATGTAAGTACTTTCATATAAAATGATTTTTCACTTCTTTGTTTTGCATTCGCAATATATATATATATATATATATATATATATATATATATATATGTATGTATGTATGTATTTATATATATATATATGTATATATATATGTATATATGTATATATATATGCATATATGTATATATATATATATATATATATATGTATGTATATATATATATATATATATATATATATATATATGCATGTATGTATATATATATATGTATGTGTGCATATATATATATATATATACATGCATATATTAGAATGAGGGTATATATATGTGTGTTTGTATATATACAGTCATTCTGATATATGCATGTATATATATATATATGCATATATGCATATATTAGAATGAGGGTATATATATATACACACTCATTCTGATATATATATATATATATATATATATATATATATATATATATATATATATATATACCTATATTTATATATATATATATATACCTATTTTGATATATATATATATATATATATATATATATATATATATATATATATTTTATATTTTATATATATATATATATATATATATATATATATATATACACTTATTCTGATATATATCAATGTAATTTATTTTCGAGTGGTTTGCTTTCTGACTTTTTTCTCATATTTTGTTGGGTTAGGATTATTTAATTTTGGACATGGTAACTTTCGGGAAAGATTATTTCGGTTGTCATATACGTGTATGAAGGCACCTCTGTGTGTGCGTGTGTGTTTGTGTGTGTGTTTGTACGTGTATGCGTGTGGGTCTGTGTGTGAGTGTATGTGCGTTCATATTCGAGACTGCGTGCAGCTGCACACGTGCGACTCGTGCCTCAGTCGCATAGATATCACAAGTAGAAAACTAAGTGTTTATGCGTGCGTATCTGCGTGTGTGTGCGTGCATAGTATATGCGTGTGTGTGAATGCTAATATAGAAAAGTATTCCTAACATACACATACAGGTATACACAGAGAGAGAGAGATAGATAGAAAGCTAGATATGCGATAGATCGAGAGATAGGTAGGTAGGTAGTTTGATAGATAAATAGATATATAGATATACACCTGCATTGATAAATACATATGCATAGCTATACACACACACACACATATATATATATATATATATATATATATATATATATATATATATAACGTATTTTATAGATAAACATAAATAAAATGTCTTTTTAAATAAATTGTCGGACCTCGTCCATTTCAACATATATATATATATATATAATCACAATACAATATTATGCTTCGTAAGTAAATTTCCACTTTAAATTAAAAATAGGCCGTAATTATTAGATACGTCGAAAAATACAAATTAAATTTTCTGTATATTCATTCTATGCTAATATTCATATATTTTTGGTTGATTGCCTGAGTTTGGCGGCATATCGACACCTATGGGTAATTTAATGCCGTAATCAAAATATTTTGGACGTTTTCCATTACAGAAAATGCATTGTTGGTCATTTTGCTATGTGTATTGTTGATAATTTTTTTAATATAAAAATGTATTTCTATGCTATCATAGTATTTAGTTTTTCTTTATTTCCCCATTTGCCTGGGAAGAACAGGAAGTAAGAGGTGGTTCCATGCTCCTCACCCCCCCAATCTTCAGAGGCCTTTCTGCCGGATGTAGTTTATCGTCATACCTAGAACTAATTCATATATTTTCGTGTATCTGTGTGTATGTTAGTTTGTGTGTTTGTGTGTGTGTGTTTGTGTGTATGTTTGTGTGTGTGTCTGTGTGTGTGGCGTGTTCCCGCGTATACCCGAGTGTGTCTCCCAAAGTAAGACCAACTATATATAATTTTCGATGGTAGTAAACTTTCCGCCACAAATATAGTTTGTTTGTTTTTGCCTTTTAGAAGTTGAGTGGTAATCTGGCAAAACAGCCTCCGCCATGAAAGTGCGTTCAAAGTGCAACGAATTTATTAACGAATTTATTCGTGCTGATAAAATTACACTTAATAACATACATTAACGGTTGCTGAACATTTACAAGAGACCAAAGAGGGGATATGAGCACAGTTAGGTGATAGGCGTTTACGTGATAAGTCATGTGCTAAGCATGGCAATGAAAAACGCATAGTCAGTTGTATCGGTTTGTAGCTCAAAACTTGCTCTGTCCCTCGGTATTATTGGGCTTCCTTAATCTGTTGGAGATTTCCTTGGAAATAAATAGTAAACATTACTTTCAGAATGTCCCTGATAACGATGTTCGTTACTGGCGTTGTAGGTGACAACGTACCTACACACCGTGTTCTCTCACTTAAATGAACCCATGTTTATATTTTTATTTCGGGCGTACATTTTAGATTTTACCATATAAAACTGATACGTTCAGTGAATATATTGATATCTACTGAAGAAAAAATTATGAGTGTGAACTCGAATCCGGTAATGTTTGCCTCTTTGTCTTTCTCTCCATCTCAATACACCCAACCACACGCGCGTGCACACACACACACACACACACACACATATATATATATATATTTGTGTGTGTGTGTATATATAGTTATATATACATGAATATTGGAATTTATGTATATATGTGTGTATGTGCAGGTATGAGTGTGGTAGAATGATTGGTTAAAGAGTGAAACTGCCAATCACCATGCATTAGTCACATTGGTCATATTTACAGTTTTAATATATATATATATATATATATATATATATATATATATATATATATATATATATATATATATATATATATATATATATATATATATATATATATGTCAGTCTTTATAAATAGTAGTATTTGTAGGTCTGATGAATTGGATCGTGATTACGATTCAATGCAATAAATTATAACCATGGAATATTAGTGTTTGAACCTTATATATATATATATATATATATATATATATATATATATATATATATATATATATATATGTATAAATCAAAAGTCATATATACATAGATATACATATATATCTATAGCTTATATATATATATATATATATATATATATATATATATATATATATATATATATATAAATATAGAAGACAATGAATGTCTGATCATAGCCGTTTTATTTCGTTTTGTTTTAATTTCACCAGAAATTAAAACAAAATTGTCCAACATTCGGATATTTTTATTAAGTTGGTCCTAAGCTTTCGTCATATTCAGACTGGATATTGAAACAAGATATCCACTATCAAAAGATATTTTGTTACGTTGACATAGAAATTGCTATGCGACGATATCGCGAATAAATTCAAGATAACCATGGAACCATATGTCTAAATTCAATATAATGTGTTTCACTAGTTTGAAATGTAATTTTGTTGATAATATGGTCCCCAATATCTGAAAGTACTATATTTGTATCATATATATATTTTTATATATGTAAAAAAGTGTGGTTGTAAGACCAATATTTGTAGTGTGTTTATTATTAGTATCATAACATAATTGATACACTGCATTGGTTTTTTGTAGAGAATTATATTATTATATATTTTTTATAATATATGATGAGCTTAACATTATTATTAATGGGCCCCATTTCTATCTATTTTGTTTTTTTGAGTGTTGTTTCATAATGTTTGTGATTATATATATTTGTATAGTATAAATATGTTATTTTTATATAATTTTTGTTAGATGTATTATATATTGATACATTTTAATTTGTTGATTGACGGAATTAGGGAAATTCATTATTAACAAGTGTTTTGTTAATGTTATATATATGGTTTTTAGAAGAAGATATCATTTATGGTTTTTTTTATAATAGCTATTATATCATTGGGGACATTATTATAATTAAGAATGTTAATCTTAGTGGGTTCCCTGTATCAATCAATAAGACATCAAGCCTAATGTTTTACAAGATATATTTGATCAATATTTTTAGCTAAAACAAAAATGTCATCTCTATCTTACATATATAGGGAGTTTATAGTGTCATTAAGTATTTTATTTCAAATGTTGCCAAAAGAAATTAGACAAAAGGGGCCTCGGAGATCCCAAATATACAATGAGTATAAATATTAGGTAGGGTCGATATAAATATTAGGTAGGGGGGTCAATGAGTATAAATATTAGGTAGGGGTCAATGAGTATAAATATTAGGTAGGGGTCAATGAGTATAAATATTAGGTAGGGGTCAATGAGTATAAATATTAGGTAGGGGTCATGAAAGGAGACTTCAGTGATACATGCTAATAATATTTTTTTCCCCTTAAATTGCGTGTTTAATATTGATGGATTGGAGAGAAGTGTGATTGTATAATACATCATGGATAATGATGTCAATTGTTTCATGGACGGGAACATTAGGAAAATAAAGATATGTATACAGCGTAAAACTTGTTAGCGTAAGAGAGGAAGAAATGGTCATTTTTTGAGAGGAAACATTTGTAAATTTAAATAGTGTGGACATAAACATGAA